TCTGAGCCTCCGGCTCCCCGGCTCTCCGCTCCGAGTGGGGGGCGAGGAAGAGGGGGGAGCTAAATGAAAATTTCCGGCGTTCGCTGCAACTGGAGTGGGGCGACTAAAATGAGAGGCGTGAGAGGGAGAGTGGGATGTGTGGTCTGCAGTCGGCTGAGTTACCAAACCCAGGGTCGCCCAGAGTTGGGGTTTTTGACAGAGTGAGGCGGGCGGGGGGTTTCAGCAGTCACTGATGTAGACGGATGGGGAAAACACAACGACCAACAATAATCATGAGGGGCCGGTGGGGGTGGTAAATACTAACACTTTCCAAGAAACTGAAAAATCAGACCAAAAAAATAACTTTATTTAAAAAAAAGTTGGCAGGACGCCTTGCAGAAAAGAAAATACTAATCTGTCCAAGCACTTTTCACTTTCAGCATGAGCTACATTTGTTTTGTTTTCCTTCGCTTCCTTTCGGCCTCACAAAGCCCTATCTTTTCCTTTTGGACAGAGGATATGATTTGGAAATTGTCTGGCACTCTTGTGGTTAACGATCTACTTGAAGGGGCTGGCCGGTTCACAGTTATTAAGTGATTAGTAACTGCTGAGGGTTCACTAAGGTATTTCTGTGGAGGTAAAAAGCCTAAAATTGACTTTAAATAACAGAACAGCAAGATAATAGACACACGCACACACACACAAAGAGGAGAGAACACCATTCGATGGGTGCTGAGTTTAAATGCATTACTGAACTTCTGAAATTTGAAACTTTGTAAGAATGTATACTTTACCTGCTGAGAAAACCTGAATATTTCAGGTGAAAATGAGATTTTGGAGAAAAAGAAAAGTCTTCTAGACTTTCTACAATGAAGTAAAATAAAACTTAAAATGACTATTTATTTTGAAAGAATTCAGTATTATCTAAAATCTCTATCTGTAAAATACTTGAAACCCTTTGAAATATCTTTATGCAAACCCTAAAAAAATGTTATTTATTTCAGGACTCTGTGTAAAAATTAAAACCCAGAAAAATTCTGTTTGAATGAAAAATACTAACTCTATAAGTCTTTTGACACTTTGAATTAAACTATGTTGCTAATTTCACAGTAGATCAAAATTTTGCTTTATAAAATTGATTCTATAGTATAATGTGAAGTAACAGGTTAGGTAAATAAAAATTGTTGCATTTCCATTAGCAAATATTTTGCAAGGCATTATAATAATTCTTAAAAAATAAAAAATGAATAATTGTGTTTTTTATGCTTTAGATAGTTCATAAAATACATTTTTTTGTGTTTAGAAGCATATCTTCTAAAGTGAAATTCAATTTCTGAACAAAATTTATACTTGTAAAGATAGCTACAATCTCATACAGTTTACAAACTTAAGAAAACAAAGTGTTGGAATTTGTATTTCTATAAAATATTGGATCACTACAAATCACTAATTAGACTTTAAACCAGAAACACAAATGGGAATCCTCCATTTTGATAATTGCTCACACTATCAATGCTTTTTAAAACAAGATTTATTTGTTGGTAATTAACACATTTATGTAACTCAGAAATAATTGTCAATAAATAGTCATAGGAACCAGCAAATGATTGTAAGAATTTGAGTAAATAATTTGTTAAAAAATATTAAGCTGTAAATATCTTTTAAATTAACAGAAAAATATCTTTTCTACACTGGGTTGCATTTTTCATTACTGAATTGGATAACAACCATAGATGAATTAGAAATTCCAAGATTTAGCTTACTAGATCACTTGGGCAATGTCAAAAACAATGAAACTTTATTTAATTACATACATTAATACTGAGTGTTACCTCTCTGTATGTCATTTGCTTTCTCTGACACTGTTAATTTGTCA